ACTAAAAACTGCTTTTATTAAGACTGGTTATAATAACAAATCCTAACAAAAAGTCTGATTATGGTTCCCCCCCCCCCATTCACATTAGTGTAATGATTCACATTATACTAATGTGAATTAGGGAGCTGTCTGTCTGAGACGTTTTCTCATTCCTCCTTCATTGTTTGGACCAAAGCAATGTTTCCCTCCTGATGCTTTGGTAACGGATCTCCCCTCTCTCCATCAAGGCTGTCCTCTACTTATTCTCTACAAGGCCTTGCAGGAAAAAGGTCCAAGGAGTGGCATGAGTTAAATTAACAGCAGCCCTGTAGAATACTGGCTGAGTGCTCCCTTTTGACTGTGGTTCTTTCTCTCTTCTCTTCCAAGGATTTTCCTCTTTCAGCAATCTCAACGATGGGAGCCAAGCAGCCATACTGCCTGCAGAGGATCCCCCGCCATATTCCCCGATGGCCTCTCCCGAGAGTGGCAGTGCCCCTATGATCACTTGCCGAGTCTGCCAGAGCCCCATCAATGTGGAGGGAAAGATGCATCAGCACGTGGTGAAATGTAGTGTGTGCAATGAGGCCACGGTGAGCACTGTTAGACGGATAGGTGGAATGTGGGTGGTGTAGTGGAAAGTTGTAAAGGCAGAAGGCAGCTGGGTGGAATATAAAAGAAGATGAGCTGACCCGTGAACCAGATGGAAAGTCAGAGACAAGCTGTGCTTCTCAGGGTCACTTGCCCTGCTTGGCTGTCTGCAGTTCATTTCCTCAATAGCAAAACTCTGGCTTTCTGCCAATTGCTATGATTATACAGTGAAGCCACTGACAGAGAAGGGGAGGCTTATATTCCTATAGTTCTCTCTAGATATTAAAATGATGGTTTTTTTTTTAATATAGTGAGGATGTTTTTTTTAAAAAAAACCTGGATAGCATAAAAGCAAGGCACAACTGCAAATCTGCTGACATGGCGTAGCTTGCTGATGGAGTACTTTCTTCATCTTTCAGGTCCAGTCCATGGTCCCTTGAGAGCTTGGCCAGTCAGCATAGTCAATACTGAGCTAGCTAGATATGTGGTCTGAGTCTGCACGAGGCAGTTCTCTAAAAGGATTCCGTTTTTCTTTTCTTTGTTTTCTTCCTCTTAAAAGGAGGTGTTAACCTTTAGCTGGGATTCTGTATTGTAGTGTACTGTTTTATTTGGCTAGATAGTGTTGTGATGAAGGCATTGCTCATTTGTACTCACTTTGAACTACACTCAAAGTTTTTATGATGCCTTTCTTTCCATTAGAAGCTAGCTTGGAAGGGTTTTTTTTTTTTTAAATCCTAAAATTTGGCCTGCACATTATTTCAGTCAATAATATGCAGGTTCTTGTTTATTTGGCTGAGGAAAACAACTGAACCATTTTTCTTTGCTTTAATTCCTCCCCCTGGTATTATTAAAAGTTGGCGTCGTCCAATGAAATTGACTGGTGGGAAATTTGAAATGGATGTAAGGAAATACAGTTTTGCATGCTGCACAATTAATTTATGCCCTGGGATGGGGTGTGTTTGTTACTCTTTTAAATGGTTAAAAGTAAATATACCAATCATGGAAGAGGAATTTGCCCATGAGGAAAGGTAGAGGGGCAAGGTTTATTTGAGGAAGAAATGCTGGGTAGAGCCATAGTAGGAAGCTGATATTATCATTACAAGCTTAGGAGCTGCCGGCATCTGGTTATCAAATTCCTGGACTATTGGATTGGACAAACTTTAAGGAGCTTTTTTATTCTTAGGGGTAAAGATGGATCCTGGATTCCTTCCACAATCCGTGAAATTGTTCAGGGATCCAGGATTTTTAATCCCTTAAAAGAACATCAAGGGCCTGAATGCATTTCTGCCTTTAGTCATGCTTGCTGTTCTGTTCTATTCCCCATGCTTTCCAGAGAGAGAATGAATTGTTCCTCTCGGGTTGCACTAAAGTATGCAGAGATAACGCTTCTGCTTGGTGAAGTTGCAGTATTTTCTCCTTCCCTCTTCTCTCACCATATTCCTTGTAGGCCCCAACTTGGGGAGTTACTAAAACTACCCTGCCTTACAGGTTGTTATCAGAATAACATGCTGGCTGGGGAATCCTGGGAGTTGAAGTCCGTTCATCTTAAAGTGGCCAAGTTTGGACAACACTGACATAGACAATAAACACAGAACATTTCAAACAGAGTTCTCTGTGGAAGACAAGGGTTGCTCTGAGATTAGTTGTTTTTCCTGCAACTCCTTTCTTGTTTGGTTTTGTTTCTGTTAACAGTTTCTGAGTCTTCTTTCAATATAAAATCTAAAAAGTAGGATTGCCAATCTGCACTGGCTTCAGTTCCTACAGCTGCAGATAACGCAAAACTGAAACGATACGTGGTTGCTCGGGCCTCCTCCAGAATTTGAAATCACACTTAAGAATTTGAGGTGTTTGAGTTGTTTTCCAGCATATTTTCCTGAATTTCACTCTGAAGTTTTCCCCTTCATCTCCTGGATAAACTTGTTTGAAAGCCTTTTTAATCTCAGCATCTCAGGGCAAAGCATCATGGACAGAAGCTTAAAAAAAAAAATGCATTTCTGTTGGATTTCAAGATATGGCATAAAATTCACTTGGAATTCAGTGAGCAGTTGTCAACTGTGCTTTATCTCTGTCCCAACCCTACCCTAGTTACCTTTGGCATAAGAAACTGCCTATTAAGATTGTGGTGAAAACCGAAAACCAAACACATCTCTCAGGGGCCCTGCCCTTTCCACGTTCCTTGTCTCTCTCCCCTCCTGCTGCTTTTATATAATGTAGATTGGAAGCCCTCTGACTGGAAAAAAGCACGCCTTTTTCTTGGAGATAAAATAGGTCCCCTCAGAAATGCCACATGTTTGTAATGCTGTTTCCTGAAACGTGCCGCTTCATCCCAGGTTTAGTTTCTCTAGCCCAGCATTCCCTATTCAGATTAGCAGTAGCTCAGCTTCTTGAGCATGCTTGTTCTTCAACACTTGCTCCCTAAATTTTCAAGCTATGAAAAGTAGGGCTAAGACAGAACCAGCCATGTGGGAAAACATACCTCAGTGACTTGCCTATGAATGTTCTCCAGATGTTGCGTTTGCACTGAATTCAAGGTTAATTTCCCTAGCCATGCACAGCCCCCCGTCTGTTTTTAAACTGCGTGACTGAATTTTGGTGGGAAACCACTGAATAGTCATGTGTTTTGTTCAGGAAAAAAAAAATCACATATTAGCATCCAGACTATTTCTCCCGTTTACCTCACTGTTATCTTGGCCACTGTAGCTGTTAGCTGCCTGTTTTGTTTTTTTTAAATCCATAATAATTCACTTTGAATATTTACAGATACTCTGTGATGAAGCAACTGGAGGAGTGCCTGCAATAACCTTGGTCCAGTACCTGGTTTACAATGTTTGCTCTGTTATGGCCTTCTCCCTTCCTCTTAAACCAGGAAACACGTTCAACCTGTTTGACGTTCATGAATGTTCTTTTGTCCTTCCGTAGCCAATCAAAAATGCCCCGCCTGGTAAGAAGTATGTGAGATGTCCTTGCAACTGTCTTTTGATCTGCAAAGTGACATCACAGCGCATCGCCTGTCCGCGGATATATTGGTAAGAGAAAGGGGTGGGGAAGAGAATTATGTAATGATGTCCTTAGGGATATTTTAATATTGGATCAAAAACAGCTTTTTAAACACATACTCTCTCTCTGTATATAACATTGCAAGGGGAAAGCAGAAGCAAAAAGAAGAGGAAAAATAAAATCACAAAGTAAATAGATATTTATTTGTATTTATTTATTAAACATATTTGTATGCCGCCACAATCCCAAATTACTCTTGGTGACTCACATAAATGTACGTAAGGTTAGATAAATTAAGTATAGATTCTCAGAATAATGAATATACTTCTATACATTAAGTACCTTATGCCATTTTAAAACTACAGATCATTATTAAAATCAAGTTAATGTACCAGTATCAACAACAATCATCATGGTATGGAATGTGAGCTTAAATGAAAAATTACTGTCTTACTTGGTCAATAAATATCCTTATTTAACAAATCATCCATGACTTAAATGTTAAAACTTTAAAAAAACCTTAATTTCAGATCCGAAACAAGCTCACGGGTAGAATTATAGTCCAAAAATGGTTTTCATGTTAAATTGTATGCCAGATTCATTTTTCAAATACAAGGTAATTTTATACATGGAGGCATACTGCCACAACTTAATTTTGCCATTCTTCTACTGAAAGAATCATACATGCTTTTCCAATACCACATGCAGGGCACTCTAGCAGCTGTGAGCATGTAAAAAGCTAATTTGGTGTACTTTGTAGATATATCAGATTTAAGAATATTTAATAGAAAGTTGGCAGGTTGGAAAAAAGAATCCCACTTTTAGAATTGTTTCATGCAATTATAAATAGAGTAGTTTTCCAAAACTATTGAGTTCAACAATCTATGCCACCAAATACAGAAGAGTCATCTGACCTAACCTTATTTCTTCATGAGTGCAAAAGTTTGATGTGTTTGGAGAAGCGGGGGACGGGGGGGATGACTAGATCGTTTGAGTCCTGAAGCTTGTTTGTTGAGGGGGAGAGGAATAGAGTATTGGGAGTGTGGTCCAACAATTTGGGTGGGCTTCTGCTTCCTGAATAAAGGGCTAGAAAGCGAAAATGTGGATTGAAGTAATCAGGCTAAAAATGCTGCATTTTTAGAGGAAAAACACACGCACACAGTGAAGAGAGAGGGAAGAAAGAACCGAGGGTTCTGTCTCTCTCTTCACTGTTTGAACCTGGTTTTTTTCCCCCTCTTGAAAAGGGTATTTATGTTTAGATACTAAAAACAATGGCGGCCCTGATGGAGAAACCAGAAAGACTAGTTGATAAAATCCAGGCATGCTATGTTTGAATGAGAGAGATTAACTGTGCATACCAGGTCTGGACCTGGGTTTAAAAAAATGGGCAACTTTTAAAATCTAAAATCAACTTTAATCCTCCGTGTTGGCCATGGGGAGGAGTTACACTGGCTTGAGAGTAGGAGTTATATTGTGGGGCCAGGTGGACTGACAAGAGAATAATCTAAACCTCTTTTCTCCCTTTGTTTTATACCCAGTAAAAGGGTCATTAACTTAGGCCCTGTTCACCCTGGCCCTCCAAGTCCAGAGCCTCAGCCCGTGGGTGTGCGTGTCAATTGCGGCCACTGCGAAAACAATTTCCTGGTAAGGGCGCTGAAGAGCAAGGGACTGGAGAGAAATGAGGCTGGAGTTTATTTGTTCCAGTCTCAGCTTTGGGTGGTATTTGGAGAACTGTTATGGGAGGCTCCTTCTGCCTAATATGCCCATCTTTCCAAAGTTATTTTCAGCACTTTAGTAGAGCCACAAGATGAACCAGGAGAACGTAACGTACAAGCCAGAAGCAAATTACAAACTTACACGTTCGGATTTGAACCCAAATGAGGCAGTCTTGCTGCGAACTGTGTTCGGAACAGGTCGACGTTGCACTCACTGCTTCCAGTCCCTTAGGGTGCAAGGCTGACAGAAAAGCCTAATTGAATTGCGTGTTCATCTTTTGAAATGGACGCAAAATGTGTTCTCACCTGTCAGCATCTCCCCATGGGTGGACTCCAGTAACAAATCTGTGGTTTGATTTGCGCCGCCTCCCTGAAACATGTGCATATTTGTGGCAGCGAAGCGTGACTCAGGTCAGGATGACTAGCATGCCACCCTTCTCTTCCCTTCTAAGGCCTTATCTCTCTCTTTTGTCTCTCCAGTGGACAGAATTCACAGATCGCACTTTAGCCCGATGCCCCCACTGCCGCAAAGTGTGAGTTAATCTGGGGAAGGAATTGGGCCTGGAGGAGGAGTGGTGTTTGCAGGATGTTCTCAAACATTGCGTTGAACGTACCTGATATTAGTAACCGGGATGCGGGAGGAAACTTGCTGTTTTGGGATTCAGCCTGAAAGTAGAGTGAGGAAGCTGAGTCCACCCCTTGCTGGAGCAGAGGTCTGCTCCCTGTCCTTGTTAGGCAATGCCTCTTTCTCCATCAGAGCTCCGAACTCTGGGGGTCGGGAGCTCTGTGAGAGTGACTCTCAGAAAGCTTGATGTACTGCTCTCTTGTCGTTCTTTCTTCCACCAGCTCCTCCATTGGGCGCCGCTATCCGCGGAAGAGGTGCTTCTGCTGTCTTCTGCTGGGGGTGCTTATGGCTGTAACAGCAACGGGATTGGCGGTGAGTCTGAGCGAGGGGCACCTAGCTAGGTGGCAGCATGTGTGGGATCTCAGAAGGCTTTAAGGATGGTCAAGTCTGGTTGATACCTGGAAATCCCAGAGCTTTGGGTTAGAATGAGGAGGTTAAAAAAGTGGAAGAGCACAGAGGCAGACTCCGTTGATCTTGTTGCTAAGAAGCCTTCAGGGATGTGTCCAAGAGTCCCGCTTGACTTGAGGCCACCTTTTCCTTTAGGAGCCAGAGGGGCAACTAAATGTGGCACTCAGTCTGAAATCAAAACTGTTCCCAGCTCATAACTTCAATGCTAGGTATCTAGAAGCTCTTAAGCAGCACTGCTCTGCCCCTTTAGGCTCTCATGCCTAAGATAGTCCCTGGTTTTAAATAACAGTGGAACTGCGTGTGTTCCTGTAATGCAGGAGGGACCATTTTTTTTGCCAAGGGTCATGTTTGGCAGTTGAGCAATGTACTACGTACCGCGCTCTGAAAATACAGGTGGGGAAGAAGTGGGTCAGGTCAGGACAACACTAGAATGCCCTTTTATGTATGTTTTAATGTCATTGGTGCAACTGCATAGCAGACCACCAGGAGATTCAGGTGGGGTGGGCTAGAGTTCAAACAACACCCCAAAAGAGGACATTGTTGCCAGGGAAACTGCAGAGACTTATCCATGAAGTCCTCAGGAGTCAAACTGGACTCAAGGGAGGCTTTTATCTTTTTAATATAAATATCCCCAAATATCCACTGATTTTACTTTCTGTACTATTAACAATTTCTGCATGAAGAGGCTGCCAGGGCGACATCCCAAGGTTTGGGGGGTGCTCGTATATAGTCTTAAGGCCTAAGATTGCATACCCCTGCTCTTGTTTTTCACTGTTTCTGAGTAGAAAAGCTGAACCTCCAGGCTGATTTACCCACTGAAGCAGTGGGCACAAATAACAGAACGTTATTTTCACTTGAATACCAGGCTTCCAAACATATTAGGATCTCTACAAAATCTGCTCCTCTCTTGACACGGCAGAAATGTCTGCAGGAAATCAGATTTTTTTTTTCTCTGACAGCAAGCTTCCTGCAATCCCCATAGAACTTTAAAACTGTGAAGGAATATTTTCTCCTCCCCCCTCCCCCCCATTTTGCCAAAGGAACCCTTAAGTACCAGTTCATTATGCAAGCATTTATCTAAAATAATAAAGCAATTTTAATATTGAAAAAGGGGAACTGAACACTAAGGTCCTAAATAGTACAAGTGGAGCATCTGCCCTAGGTCTCTTTTGAAGGCAAGAGGAGAAGTAGTAAAGCTTGAAAAGAGCAACTTGTCCCCATATTCAGAATGCAGTTCCAGGAGGTTGGGTCTTAGGGCTGTCCCCTTCCCCATAGGTCCATTCTGATAAAAGAGGGGGAGTTATGCACCTAAGCCAGAGAGAGAGAGAGTTCCCCACCATGTCTCCACAACCTTCAATGCTTGGAGCCAAAAGGAAAATTGGAGGTGGTATGTGGACCAGGCTGGAACAAAAGGTTACTGACCCCAAAGATCTATTGAAACCCCTCCCCTCTCTCTTTCACAGTAAATCTGTTAAGCTGTTTTATTGGCAGTGAATGTGAGGCTGATTTCTGACTCTTCTTTGGTTCCCTAGTTTGGTACCTGGAAACAAGCACAGCAGTATAGGGGGGTCTATGCTGCCTGGGCTGTGGTTATTTTCCTGGCTTTGGTTTTCCTTGGCCGAGCTACATACTGGGCTTGCATGAGGGTCAGCCATCCCATCCAGAACTTCTCCTGAGCCTCTCCAAGCTCCTCTTGGTTTGCCACCGCTGCTCCACCACGTCATCTCCAACCTCGTCTTCTCCCCTCCACTTCCATTTGGAGTTGGGACTGCCATGCCACCTTCTTGCTGTGCCAGCTCCCAACGTTATCATCTGAGTAACTGTGGGACAACCCTGATATCTATGAGTCTTCTTCCATCTCTGTTGCTCTGAGCCAGGATTGGTGGCCAAAGAAAGTACAATTGACTCCAAAGGAGCCGAAGCCCAGCTCTCTAGGGTTCCGCCAACGATGGCCAAGTTCCTGTTGATCCTGCAGGTAACAGAAAACTAATTGTTCCAAAGAGAAACTTGAACGCAGCTGGACGGTTTGGGATTCAAGCAGTGGTGGCTCTTTTGCTGACTAACACACAACTGAG